TGCCTAGGCACGTCCTTCCCTGACCCTCTCCAAAACAGGATGAGCGTCTCAGCTTGGGTTGGAGAGCTTTATTCTCAAGGTGACATTTAACCCAAAGAAGAGACTCAGGGGCCCCGGGGAATGATCTCCCATTCAAGAATCCAAACCAGGAAAGCTTTTCAAGACAAGGTTTTATGTAGCCCAGGCTGCCCTCAGGTTCATTGTGTAGTCTAGGATGGATGACCTTGAACTCCTGATGCTTCTGCCCCCACCTCTGGAGTTCTGGGATCACAGGTGTATACTACAGGTGCCTGGCTGGTTAGGTGTTGGATACCAAACCCAGGCCTTGGTGTATTCTAGGCAAGCACCCTACCGAGTGAGCTCTGTGCCCCACCCAAGGGAAATGATTTTTTTTTAAACAGTTGGACTTATACAGACACAGGAAGCTTTCTGAGGTGGCGGGCTTCCCCAGGGGCACTCTAGGCAAGGCTTGCGTGAGAAGTCGGCAGGGTATATGGGTTGCCTAGTCTCTCGCTTCCTTTGAGTTCCTATCCAATCTAAGATGCTAAGACTGGTGGAACTGAGCCTAATTTGCATTCTTCCTGCCTCTAAGCCTCAACTAGCTGCCTGCTGGTTGCCAGGAGCCAGGTCCGGGCCCCTCTTCGGCCTATGGGTGGACACAGGAGAGTACTAACAGTCCCCCCCCCTTCTGCTCTGGTCCAGGACCACCGCCAGGCCCCAGAATTGGCAGGCACTGAGGGACATGAAGCCTAGTGGCTGAGCAGCTCCTTTCAAGATCTGTGCCATCTCTGCCCCCATCACTAGCCCCGCCCCCCCAAGCCGGCAGCTGCTTACATAACTTGTTGCTTCCAAATGTGGGGACACCCCATGGCTTGTGGCTCTAGGTTACCCTCATCCTGGGAGAGTCCCAAGGTGTTCTCTTGGATTTGGGGGCTGGCCACAGCTGTACCCCTTCTCCATGTTAGCTCACTCAGGGGCCCTTTGCCTCTGCCATGTGGTGGGTGCTCTGTGTCTCGAGTTGCAGCTATTTCAGGGCCTTGCGCAGCTGACCCCTTGCTAGGCCAGTTATTTGGAGCCTGCTGGCTGCCTACAGCTGCTCCTGCTGAGTGCTGGAGAGGAAAAGGGAGAAGACATTCTTGGGCTGGGTCTGGCTGCTTCCAGCTGCTCCTGAGCCTCGGCGCCCAGCTCAGCAACATTTCCAATAAGTCCACTTCCTAGCCCCGTCTGCCTCCCTCTCTCGTCCACTTACTCATTCCTTCTCCTTTAATCTCCACATTGAGCTAGTTCTCCTGGGCTTTTAGTCAGCGACTTCAATCAAAGAGCATTTCCTGGGGGCTTCCCGTGACTTGGATGTCTACAGACAGCATGAACAATGAATGTATTTGTGTGGGCGTGTGGTGCTGGGGTTTGAGCCCAGAGCCTTGTGCATGCTGGGCATGTGCTTGACCACTGGCCATGCCCCCCACCCCCAAATGCTAATATCTGAAGTTGTCTGGGCAACAGGGGCTCTGCCCACCCTTGACCTGCCAGAGCTTGTCGAGACAGGCATCTGGCTCCATTCTCTAGGTGCACATCACATGCTTGAGGGAGGCTGCTTACACAAAGGCCACCAGCTAAGTACCAGGTAGAACATTTAACACCTGGTCTGGAGTGCCCGGGAGCCCTTGGTGACATGGAAGCAGTGCTCATACTGACACATGATCATGTGTGCCCGGTACTTTCCCAAGTGCCCAGTGGGCCTTATTCCATCACATTCCTGCAGCATCCTTCCAAGGAGAGCCTCAGATACATCTCTCACGGCTGAAGAAGAAAGGAAGGCCCCATGAGGTTAAGCCACTTGTCCAAGGTCAAGTCAGGATCTGAACCCGGGCTGATGACTTCAAATTCACTACACTTGACCATGTTCCTATCAGTATATTGCCTACTAGAACATGGATTTTTGGTTACAAAAACCAACCGACCGATACCCAGAGTACGCTTAGGTTGTGTTCTTTGGAGTAGAATGTCCATATTTTTGGAGGTGATAGTCCCTCTGAGCCTTGAGCTTCTCAGGGCAAACTTGGAGTACTGTCTGGGTCTGTTCACTCACTAAGTGGTGGGAAAGTGTGTCTGCAATCTTAAGTATGGAAGGAGAGGTGAGGAGATGTGTCTTTATTACAGGCTCGGAGCTCAAGACAGGCGGTGCCTTAGATACAGAGGTGAAGAGTTGAGTTTAAGAGAAACCCAACCCCTCAGAGGACTGAGTCTTTCCTTGCTTATTGAACTACTTCTGCAATTAGTGTCCACAACTCTGGCCTGTGCTGCTGTGACTATAGACCCCACAGCCTGCTCAGCTCCAGGACTCTGAACAGACTGTCCCGAGTGCGGGGTAGCCTGTGTGAGATCTCTCCCATAGGTCATGGATGGGCATCTCCGAACCACTTCCCCGTGATCTTCCCCTCTCCTCTCTTCTTCCAACTCCCCAGAGTCCCCAAGGCCCAGTACTGGAATCCTTGAGGGGCCAGGGGGCTGAAACTGGTTCTTCAAGGCCCAGGCCTCCCCACCCTATCTCCCTCCCTTGACCTGCTCTTCCTTCCGGTCCACCCGTTTCCCCTCACCTCTGCCTCTGCACATCCCCAGCCTCCAAGCCATGGCCATCGTCAGAGTCAATTCCCTGGGATAATCAAGTTTTCTGGTCGGCTCCCTCCTCCTTGCCAAGGCAACACAGGGAAACCCCAAGCAGCTAGGCTTTTGGAGTAGCGTGAGACTTAAGAGGAAGGGCATCACCTTCCCGGGTACAGATAGCAGCATCTGGGAGAGACAGGGAGAGGGGCCTTAGAGACTCCACCTTCTGTGGAGGGCCAGCCATGGCCTCTGCTCTTCCTGCTGGCTTATCTTCCAGGCTTTGCTGGAGGACTTGGGTACCCCAGCCACCTAGGCACAGGAAGGCTCCTGAGAAGGCATAGGTCGTGGTGTGGCTTACAGTGGCGCCAGTCAGATTTGGGGATGCCAACTCTGCAGAAGGGGTTCCATTTGAAATGTGGTACTGGGCAGTGGTGGCACACGCCTTTAATCCCAGTACTGGAGAGGCAGAGGCAGGTGGATCTCTGTGAGTTTGAGGCCAGCCTGGTCTACACAGAAAGTTCCAGGACAGCCAGGGCTGTTACACAGAGAAACCCTGTCTTGAAAAACCAACCTCCTCCCCCGCCCAAAAAAGAGAATGGCATTAGGGGATGGGCAGGGCAGACCTTACCAATATTGAATCTGCTTTCTCGGTGGCTGTCACCCAACACCCCTATCTGTATTTACAGTGGGATGGCCTCCACGGGCTGTTTTAAGGATATCGTTCAGGAGGTTATCGCCAGCACATGTCATTACTGTCACTGAGTTACAGATCCACAGAGCAGGACATAGCATACCTACTAAAATACGGCTGGAGGCCGGGCCATGGTAGCGCACGCCTTTAATCCCAGCACTCGGAAAGCAGAGCCAGGCGGATCTCTGTGAGTTCGAGGCCAGCTTGATCTACAGAGAGAGATCCAGAACAGGCACTAAAACTACACAGAGAAACCCTGTCTCGAAAAACAAAACAAAATAAACAAATAAACAAACAAAAAACACGGCTGGAAACAGCTGTTGGCATGAAAAGGAGGTGTTCGGAACACAGTAGGAGAAAAAAAGAAGTGGTTGTGAAAAAGGAAATGTGTGCAGCAGGGATTTGAGCCTGAAGTCCATGCCCATGGAAGGGCTCAATGTACTTCATGGATGCCCAGATGTTATACAGAGAATTTAGAGATTCTCCGTGTTCTGAGATGTGCCAAAGTTGTCACATTTTCAAAGCGGTTTATTACTCATGGATGGGTAAACATTATTGGTGTTTATAGAGAACTCAATTTTCACCTTAACAAAAAACTAAAATACATTTAAAAGACTCTGTCGTGCCACAATCCAAATATGGAAAATGCCTTTTCTCTGAGTGGTTGGCTAACAGAGTTGCGTGTTTCTCTTTGCTGGAGTGTATCGTCTTTGAAATGAAGCTTGTATTAGCTGTCTGGATTAGTGAGACAGGGTTTGAAGTTTGGTGAAGCTGCTTTCAAAAGTCTTTATTTCTTGTGAATTAACTTCCCCTCACATTAATGTCTTTATGTGACAGTGATAACCTCAAAGGGTAAGTATTGGTTTTAGATGTCACTGTTTATGCAAAGAAACTGGGAGAGAGAGGTTCCTTCTGGCCTGTGACAGTATCAACAATGCTTGTGGTGAATGGTTATTGTTTGTCTAAAAGCGACTCTGGGGACTGGGGAGATCACCCAGTGGGCAAAAACCAGGAGGACCTGAGTCTGTTGTCTTTTAAAGGTGGGATGTAGTGGTGTCTTTATAATCCCACTGCTGGGGATGCTGAGACAGGAGGATCGCTGGGGCTCATTAGCTAGTCATCCCAGTCTACTTGGGCAGTTCCAAAACAGAAAGACCTTCTCTAAACACAAACAAACAAACAAATGTGGATGGTGTCTGAGAAACAACACCAAAGATTGACTTCTGGCCTCATTCTAGATGTTAAACATAAAGTAGGGAAGTCCTAGGGATTAGAATTTAAGAAACCTTTTTCTTCTGTGGAGGGGCTGAGGGTAGAGGACATCAATCCACTAAAACTGTAAGTCTTAGCGGGCACTGTGGCACACAATGAGTTCAAGGCTAGGCTGAGGACACGAAGCTCTTTCTCAGAAAAATAAAAGCCCCTCCTAATACAGTTAAAGAGTCAATACACGACAAGTTCTGTAGGGTTACTGAAGACAGGAGAAAGCATTGCCAACTGGGAAGCATTTAAAGCAACCAGATGGCCTTGAAGTTGGTGTCTTCCAGCCACATGCCTGTCTTTAAAGGGCACATTCCCGCGCCCCCCCTTGGCTTCCCGCCTTCGCACCCGAGCGAGCAGTGGCATCTTTAGTGTCGGTGGCGCAGGCTGTGCGACCGCTGTGGGACGGTGACGGTCCCCCTGTCTCTCGCCCTCCCTGCTGCAGACAGCGAGCTGGTGCTGCCCGACTGCCTGCGGCCGCGCTCCTTCACCGCGCTGCGGCGGCCGTCCCTGCGGTGCGAGGCGGACGAGACGCGCCTGTCCGTGAGCCTGTGCGACCTCAACGTGCCGGGGACCGACGGCGACGATGGCGCGCCGCCCGCCGGCTGCCCGATCCCGCAGAACTCGCTCAACTCGCAGCACAGCCGCGCGCTGCCGGCGCAGCTCGACGGCGACCTGCGCTTCCACGCGCTGCGCGCCGGCGCGCACGTCCGCATCCTGGACGAGCAGACGGTGGCGCGCCTGGAGCACGGGCGCGACGAGCGCGCGCTCGTCTTCACCAGTCGGCCGGTGCGCGTGGCCGAGACCATCTTCATCAAGGTCACGCGCTCGGGTGGTGCGCGACCGGGCGCGCTGTCCTTCGGGGTCACCACGTGCGACCCTGGCACGCTGCGGCCGGCCGACCTGCCCTTCAGCCCCGAGGCCCTAGTGGACCGCAAGGAGTTCTGGGCGGTGTGCCGCGTGCCTGGGCCTCTGCACAGCGGCGACATCCTGGGCCTGGTGGTCAATGCCGACGGAGAGCTGCACCTGAGTCACAACGGCGCTGCGGCCGGCATGCAGCTCTGCGTGGACGCCTCGCAGCCCCTCTGGATGCTCTTCAGCCTGCATGGCGCCATCACGCAGGTCCGCATCCTCGGTGAGTGCCCGGCGCGGCCCCCCAGCTCATGGTGGTCCTACTAGGGCCTAGCAGCTAGACAGTCACCCTAGGTGAGTTCTGGGCGGTGCGGAAGCTTCTGGCCCACCCGTGGCTGGGGAAGAGGTCAACTCACATCGCAACAGACACACAGCCTGGACAGATTCATACGCCTCAGTGTGAAAATCGGGCACAGGGAGTTTCCACCAGCAGTGAACTGAGACTTGGTTTCCTCGAGACTGTTGAAGTCTTAATGAAAATCAGGTTGGCTGGTCCATGCCTGTAATCCCAGCATTACGAGGCAGAAGCAGGAGGATCCCTGCAAGTTCAAGGCTAGTCTGCATATTGAGTTTCAGCTTAGCCAGAGCTTCTTAGCAAGCTGTCTCAAAAACCAGAAAAACAGCAACAGAAAAGTCCCAAACACCACACTGGTGTCTTCTGTGGCGACACCTGGGTCAGAATAGTCAGAGCAGGAGAATCTCGGAGCAGGTGGCCTTTGGGCATGCAATGACAGTGCTCTAGACTCTTCAGAAGAGGCAGTTTGAAAGGACTGGCGGGTGTGGGCTTGTGTTAAGCCACACTCTCCGGCTTGTTCTGTGGGATAAGTGTCCCTTACTGTGGCCAAGTGTCTGACAGGAAAGGCAACTGAAGGGAAGATGGGTTTGATTTGACTCACGGTTTGAGGGAGGAGTCCATCATAGTGGGGGAGGAACGGCAGGAATGTGGGGGCGGGTCACATTGCACCCATCTGTCAGAGAGGTGAGTGTCTTCACTCAGCTCCATTTCTTTGTCCTTTTTATTCGGCATGGGATGGTGTCCCCCACACCCAGGGTGGGTTTACCCTGCTGGATAGCTCTCACTAGCCTCACTACAAAGTGCAGACTTTGAATCCGGCCTCCAGAGATCTTAATTCTGTAGCTATAGGATAGATTCTGGACATCTGATTTTGTTGTTGTTGTTGTTTTTGAGACAGGATCTCTAAATAGCCCTGGCTGTCCTGGAACTCATTGTGTAGACCATGCTGGCTTCAAACTCAGAGATCCAACTCTGCCTCCTGAGTGCTGGGATTAAAGGTGTGCACCACTACACCCAGCTGATTTATATTTTTATTTAAAGTATCTTTAGCCAAGGTTGGAGAGCTCTGGGCCTCTCCACCCCAAGGCTCAACCCAGGCAGCTTGGTAGTGTTGGTAGTGTATGCAGATGAGCAAGCCCAAGCTGCTTTCTGGGCTCCGCCTTCTGTGAGGGGCCAGGATAGCCCAGTGCTTGCGTTTATGTATGTGGTGCTGTCGAGATTGTGAGTGTGGAGAGCTTGGGAAAGCTGATAAAAATCAGTGCAGACGTTCAGCTTTGTAGAAACCGGATGGAGGCATGGTGAGAAGCAGATAGAAAAGCTACGCAAAGAAATGAGGCTGGAGTGCCAAGGAGTTAGAGCCGAAGAAAGATAAATCAGGAAGAGGGAAATGAATCAGGTTAGAGGAGACAAAATCAAACAGGAAGGAAGATGAATCAGTCCAGGGTGAATGAGAATTCATTCATTAAAATGAAATTGGATTGGGAAGCATGCACACAAATCAATCTGGACTGAGATGAGACAATCAGCTCCACTAAACTGCTTCTCAGACAAAGAAAACCACACAGAGTCAAGGTATGCTCTTGCATCAGCACCACCCAGTGACAGCTGAGTAGCTTTCCAGTCAGGCTCTGTCATCTGGAGGGGTTTATGAGCGTGGAGCAAAGGGAATTAAAACATCACAGGACTTTTTCCGTCCCAGATGGTAAGTGGGTCAAGGTGGATGTTAAGAAATACCACCCAGAACTCAGTGTCTATTAATAGCTCCTGAGCTGTTTGGAGAACGGGGCATGTGAGCCAGTAGAGTGGTGCTGGGGAATCCTGACTGACTCCAAGGATATACAAAAGCCAGTAGCAGCATATGAAGATTCACTGTTCCCCTTACAGTAAATATTTGGCTTTGTGAACGTCTCCTGTAAGCCGATAACTCAGGGCTATTTCCTTTATCCATATGTACACAACCTACAGCTTTCTTTGTGTTCACTGGTGGATCAAAACTATTTTTACTGAAGACAACTATATCAGGTTATGCATTTCTCATTGCTTTGAAAATGCTAGCCAATGCAGTAGAGTAAGAAAAGTAAATAGGTGTGCATTTCTGAAAAGAGATGATAATATTTAAAATATTAATGTAGTAAGAGAAACTGTATGAGCTGGGCCTGTAACCCCAGCTATTTGGGAGGCTGAGGCAGGAGGACTAGACGTTCAAGGTTTGCCTGGGCTGCAGAACATGTTCAAGGCCCACCTAAGGCCACTTAGTGAGATCCTATCTTAAAATAAAAAGTTAAATAAGGGTATTGGGACATTGGTCAGTGATAGAGTGCTTTCCTAACATGAATGAAGCCCTGGGTTCAGGCTCTGGTGTGGAGGAGGAGAAGGGGAAGGGAGAGGAGAGACGGGAGAAAAGAGAGACCCACCCTAGCATTCTTAGAAACAATGACGCTATTACCTGAGTTACAGAGCATCTGCTATGCACAGAGCATTCTTTTAGGGCCCGAGGGAAATCACAGGCAGTGAGGCTTCTTGTTCTCGGCCAAGTTCCTGGTTCTGCTAGGGAACGGAGCTGGATTCTCAGGCAAAGATTTCAGTACTTCAGGTTGGGTATGGGTACGGCTAGGCAGTGACGGTGAGGTAGTCTTTAGGGGGGGCCATGGCTGTCCAAGACTGAGGTTTGAGGGCAGCCTTCAGAGGGCAAAGGCTCTGTCCCCAGTCTCCTATGTGCACAATGAACCTCTGGAAAGGACTACAGAAGGAAGGGAGGGAGGAGGGAGGGAGAGAGGAGAGGTTGTAGGACCAAAATATAGGGACCAGGGTGCCAGTATAGAGAATGTAGGTGGTTCCTAGGCACTGTGGTAGAGAGGGCAGGACTCCGACAGGAGGCTGAGGCAGGAAACAGGGACTTGATTCCCTGAAGGCCAAAGGTACCTAGGAAGAGTGGAAGGGGACACTAGGCAGAAGTGAGATTGGAAATTGTGGGTGAGGTAGAACGTGTAGATCTATAGGTGAGATCTCACCTGCAGATCTATAGGTGGGAACCGAGCAAGTGTGGGGGCCGAGCCAGCCTATGGGCCCTGCCCTGAGCCTGTGGCTACCCTATAGGCAGGTGTGGGCTCTCTGTGGGGGTGGGGACTGAAGCTTTCTCCATTAGGCTAATGGCACTGTGGGCCGTACCCCCTTTCTCAGGCTCCACCATCATGGCTGAACGGGGTGGCCCATCTCTCCCCTGCTCACCTGCCTCCACGCCAACCTCACCCAGTGCCCTGGGCAGCCGCCTCTCCGACCCCCTGCTCAGCACCTGCAGTTCTGGGCCTCTGGGTGGCTCTGCCGGCGGTGAGTACCAAGGCCCTGGGGTTGGTGGGCCAACGCTTCCCCCCCATTCATACCAGAGAGGGATGGTGCAGCCATTGTTAGGGCTGGGGCTGGCGGCTCCCACCAGGGGGCTTTTATTCTTTAAAAAATTATTTTTTTTTAATTATTTGAGTGTGTGTTCAGTGCATGCATGAATGTGTTCAGTGCCTGTTGAGGTTTGAAGATGTGCTGGATGCCCGGAGCTAGAGTTACAGGCAGCAGGCAGCTGCAGGCTTACTAATGTGGATGCGCGGAATCAAACTCTGGTCCTCTGGAAGAGCGGCAGACCCTCCTAACTGTTGACACATCTCTTCAGTTGTCTTAGTCAGGGTTGCTATTGCTGTGAGCAGACACCATGGCCATTTCATTGGGGCAGGCTTACAGTTTCAAAGATTTATTTCCATTATCACGATGGTGGGACATGGCAGTGTGCAGGCAGACATGGTGCTGGAGAAGGTGTGGCGAGTCCTACATCTGGATCTGCAGGCAGCAGAAGGAAAAAGTGTCACACTGGCCACGGCTTGAGCTTGTAAGCCCTCAAAGCCCGCCTCCACAGTGACACTTCCTCCAACAAGGCCACACCTACCTCAACAAGGCCACACCTCCTAATAGTGCCACTCCCCGTGGGCCAAGCACACACACACACACACACACACACACACACACGCACACGCACACGCGCGCGCGCGCACACACACACACACACACAAGGCTATGGGGGCCATACCTGTTCAAACCACCACAGGTAAGCAGCTGTGGCTTTTTAAAAATCTTTTTTTAAGATTCATTTTCAATTGTGTGTGTGTGTGGTGGTGGTGGGCTGTGTGGCTGTGGGAGTAGAGGCCATGGAGCCCAGAAGAGTGTGTCTGATCCTCCAGGGAACCCCTGAAAATGCATCCAGCGGATACCAGGGTTAGTGCAGGAGGGTCACGCCTTCAGAGACTTGGGAAGTCCTTCCCTCTTCCCTCCTTTCCTGTCACCGTCACTCTGGCCCTGGTCCGGGGCGGTGTGACCAGAGCCAGGCTGCCGGAGCTGAGCTTCTTCCTCGGGCAGGCCGGTGGGCTGAGCAGTTGGCTTTCCATCCTGGAGGAAGAGCTGAGCCCAGGGGCTCTTTTCTCGCAGGCCCTGGGCTGGGCCACATGCAGCCCATTTTGATGAGTGCTTTTGTTCCCAGGGACAGCCCCCAACTCACCTGTGAGCCTGCCGGAGTCACCGGTGACCCCGGGTGTGGGCCAGTGGAGCGATGAGTGCACCATCTGCTATGAACACGCAGTGGACACAGTCATCTACACGTGTGGCCACATGTGCCTCTGCTACTCCTGTGGCCTGCGCCTCAAGAAGGCCCTGCACGCCTGCTGCCCCATCTGCCGACGCCCCATCAAGGACATCATCAAGACCTACCGCAGCTCCTAGCCCGCCGCAGAGCCCCATCTGCAGACGTCAGCCCAGCGACAGCTAAGGGGGAAGCCAACAGGGCCCCTGCTCTTCCACGTTTTGAAAACTCTTCCTCCTTTTCCATTAAACACGGGAATCCAAGGTCCCTGAAGGTTTGGGCTGAGAGGCTCTGAGGCAGGGAGGTGGGGGGCACAATAGAACATAATAAATGGAGGGGAGGGGAGGGGAGGAGGCACCCCACAGTCTCCCTCTTTACCCAGATCTCTGCATGGTGAGGGGCTGAGGCAGAGTCTCAGCTTGTTGCCAGACCTCACGTTCTAGGCAGGTTTCTACGTTGTGCAGCCCGTGGGGTGCCTCGGAGAGCTCGAACTACGTGTAGCTTCTCCTGGGCAGCTCGGGAGGAGGCCAGCGGACTCCTCCCGCCCTGGGCAGCTGCAAACTGCATGCCCTGTCTCCTTCTCCTTACCCAGAGTGGGTAAACAGACAGGCTGCAGATTCTGGGCCCTAGGTCCCTCGTGCCGACCTGCCATGTTCAGGATCTCTCCTTGCCATAACCCACACCAATCATCTCGCTGGTGCCGTTGGGGGCCCCTCAGTATAGGCTGAGGTGGCCCTTTCTGTCGTCAGGGTCTCAGAGAACAGGTCCACAGCCACCCCAAGGCCTGTCCTCCCTCATCTCAGTGCCAGCCTTGGCCTGGGCTGATCTTGCCATCGTGTGTCCAGGAGGGACGGGGGCCCTCAGTGGGGTGGGGGGTTTCCTGGGCTATGGACAGCCCTTTTCCTTATTTTAATTAATTTATTTATTGGGTTTGTGAGTTTTGTTTGTGGGTTAATTCCAACCTGGGGGCTTCTAAAATGCTACTGTTGGGGGATTGCCAGGTGAAGGGCAGCAGAGAACAGCCACTCAGAATCTCTCCCAGGCCCTGACACAAGGCACGTGGGCAGTCCTGCTAACCCCAAGATGAGACTCCAGGCTGGAGGCCTCCCAAGAGGTGGATGAGCCTCTCGTGGATGGGGAACCGCTGATATCCACCTGTGCCCTTCCTCCCTGTGTGGGAGCCCAGTTAGTGTGGCTGGTTCAAGGGCATCTGTCCCCAGGAGTCCCCCTCCATAAAGACATCAAACGTGCTGGAAGGTTAGGGAAGGCAATCGACAATACGTGGGCCAGGGACCAGAATGGAGACCCTTGTTAGGAGGGTGGATTGTGAAGGCCAGGCTCCTGGTCCTGCTAAGGGAGCGTCCATCACTCTTGGCCTATTGCCGCTGCAGCTCTCTGCCTCTTCTGGGTTACTGTGGAGTCCTAGCCCAGCCTTTCAGCCTTTGGCCCTCAGATGGCTAGTTTTATACCCTCAAAGATGGCGTCTGCCTTGACAGGCAGGGCCTGAGGCTCTGTCCTGGCCACTGGCCAGTCCTGCAGTCCTAGCCAGAGGCCATCCTCCAAACCTCAGCTTCCCCCGTGTCAAGTGGATTGGGGGTGGAATACTCTCCACGTGGTTCCTGGGAGTTCTTCTAGGGTGTCTCTTAGGGGAAATGTATTCGGGAGGCATTGAGAATGGTATGCCAAGGTGGGCGTTTGCCTGCGCTGCCCTTGCGGGGACCTGGGGAATCTGTGCCACCCTGGGTCTCACCTCTTCAGTCACTGGACCTGGTAGGCCCTTTCTGTGAGAGCAGGCTGGAGCTGGTCAGTTGCCCCATCTAGCTGGGGGCTCATCCCAGAGATGGAGAAAGTCTGAGTGCAGAGTTGGCTGGCTGGCTGGAGGTGGGAAAAGAAGCCATCGTCCATTCTGCTAGTCCAGAGATAGTACTGCCTCCTTTGTGAACTGGGTCACTGTGTTTGTGAATAAAGGTGATTTTGTACCAGCCTGAGGGCTGTGCTGTGCGTCTGGAGGTTGGGAGGGGGACCAGTATGTGAGAACTCCTCAGGGGTTAAGAGCTGTCGGGGACAGTCCCAGTCTCTTCGGTAACTGTAGTCCCGAGTCCCAAAGGGCCTATGACAGAGAGGCCTCCTTAGAGTCAGGCTTTGGAGCATGGCATGGGGTTCAGAGAGTAGGGTTCATAATACCAGGCAGGCCTTTTAAGTTAAGAGAAGCTGCTGCCCTTCTGGTGGCCTCGGGACTTTGAGTCAGGAAAACAGGATTAGGTAGGACACCAAGGGAAGCCACAGACAGGCCAGAGATCCTGTGAGGTGAGTATCACCACCTAGAGACTAAGAGGGGAACAGCAGTCAGCCCTGTGGCTGGGATGGGGAAGAGGTAGGTAGACTGAGCCCAGGGTCTAGACAGTGTTACAACTGTGTACATTGTCAGGGCCAGGCCCCAGACACTTGTGGATGCCTGCCCACACCCTTTCCTGGGGGAGGCTTTCACTGCCCAGTCTTAGCCTGCCTTCGAAATGACCTCAGGTCCATTCTTCCCTGCTTACTAGAAACCAACACAACTAGGTAAGGACCAGGGTCCGGGTTTGGCTACTCCCAGAAAGCTGCCTGCAGGTGGGGAGGGGTTGGAGGAGCTTGTGGGAGCTGATCTCCCCTCCCCTTTCCCATCCCCTGAGCCAGTTGATTCTGGAGTCAGCTGCTGTTTGGGCTCATGGGCCTTTTGCTAGTCAGCTGAATGGATCCTCTGGTGCCAGAGAGAATCAAGCGATTCTGTTCAGTTAAAAAGGCCAAAAACTTTATTTAGTTTTTAGGGAAATACAAGATGCATGTAAACATAAACAAAATATTAAACAAAACAACCCAAATTTTAAAGTCTAGAAGCATCCCAAGACAGGTCATTCCTACAGACCAAAGAATCCCTTCAAAGTGATAAAGGACGCCCAGAAAGTGGCAGGTCCCGGGGGCCGCGTCCCTCCCCCAAGGACACTGCATGTTTGTGATGAGGCTTATAAAAACCACCCACTATTAGAATTGTGAGAAACATGGAGATAGTTTAGCACCACCGAGGATCCTGGAGATAGGTCAGCACTTGCATGGACCCTGACTGCATCCAATGTCTTTGTTTCTCTGCTGAGGTGGGGAGGAAGAACCTGGGGAAGGGCTCCTGCTGACCCCACTGAGCTGGCCAGGGATGAGTGGACACTACGAGAAGTCCCTGTGATTCAGGAGTCCCAGGGACATCCACCTGTTTGCTCCCACGGCACAGTCCACATATCCACGCTGCGAGAGTGGCCACTCACATCTGCCTTACAAGTCACCTTCCAGACCTCTCAGTAACTCGTAGGGACACCCACGTCCTCTGTTGTAAATTTAAGAAGGGTAACTGTGTACCCTTTGAAGTAAACTCAAGCGGTGTGCCTCAGTAGAAGCCACTGGAAAACAAAAAGCATCTGTGGGGATGTTGGTGTGCTCCACCTGGTCTGATTGGCAGCAGGCGGCCAACTTGGCAGTTAGAACCCCAGGTTCTGTTAGAGCCTTGGGGACAGTGTCCTGTGTCAACATGAGGCCACATGCCTCCTGGAAACGCCTGGGCTCTTAAGTTCTAGTGTGGGGATGCTGGGTCCCTACTGTGTGGCCTGTTATGGTCAGTGGCCTCTGATTTGTACAGTCTGACAGGCTGGCTAGCTCTATATTGGACAAAATGCATTGGGCAAAAACTACTGGGAATCTGGGGGACAGATTTGTCTCCTGGAAAAGGGCCCCCAAACCCGAACATTGGCCTATGGCTTATGGCGCCTCTTCCCTAAGACAGTCCATGAAAATGGAAGCCCGGCTGTGGCCCAACGAGTGAGTTTCCTCTGGCTGGACTCTTGGCTGGTGAGTAACAAAAATCCCTGTAAACCTGATCTCTTCATTTTCCAACATGAAGTGACTCCTTCCTTCTTCCATCAGTAAAGACGGCACAACTCCAAACCCTTCCTTGTTCAGCTTTCCCATACCTTCTCTGCCTAAAAGGCATCTTCTGGAAGCCTCCTCCCAGTGCAGGGACGGGAAGCCCCGGTAACCACAAACCTACTCAGCTTGCCAACATGCCTCCCACTAGCTTGCCAACATGCAAGATACATCCTTTTGCACTAACACAATTCCCTCACACTTCCAAAGACACAGCCCATTGTCCAGAATGAGACTTGGAGTAAGGTAGGGACCTTCAGCACTGGGGGACTCCGCTCTAAGGCCACTAGGTCCTAGACTGCGATGGGGGGGGGGTACTTATTGTCAAGGTCATTTGAGATTTAGACAAGATAGGGGAAGAGGAGGATGTCACATGCCACAAGGCGTTGGAAAGAAAACCCTTCCATTCAATCTCCAAGCACCAATGTGCCCACTCTGTGGCCTGGGGGCCCAGATGCACAGAACAAGGCAGTAGTTAAAAGCAATGCTAAGGCCAAAGGTCACTGACCTGTCCTATCTGGCTGTAATCACAGACTTTGCGAAACACAGGGACATGAGACCGCCCCAAACGGGATTTAGACAAAAACCTCAGAAGGTCTTGAGAAGCCCTCCTGACTCCCAGGAAGCACCCGAGGCTTGCAGTGGGGATGAGGCAGTGCTGTGCGGACACCCCAGGTCCTAGTCATACCAGGAGTAGTTCTTACGCTGCCCAGCCTGCCTCTCCCTCAGGAACAAAGCAGAGGCCAGCGAGCAGCTCTTGGGTCCCCGGGATTCTCATGCCAAGAACGTGGGTCCACGAATTTAACCACCTCAGCACTTCCATACTCAACAGTATCTATTCCATGTCTTCATCTTGGTGGCTGGGGGCCGACCTGGGCTGCTTCCATTAGATCTGCTAACGCCAGTGTGAAGTTTCCAACTAAATAAAACTAATTACAAAGACAAATTTAAAAGACACATTGCACTCTCCAGCCAGAGTTGTGTGACTGACACACACACTTGCTGCCAGAAGCTGTGAGTCCCGTGGGACCTGCCCAATGCCCAGGACTAGTTCAATGGAGACCTCCTGCCCTGTGTTTATTTCCTCTAGCCCCATGCTACTTAGTTCAAGTGGGAAATTACCACCAGTCTCTCTCACACACACGCACTCATGTAATATCCATGTACGTGGAAATTACCACCACCATCACACACACATGCACACACATGCACACAAACATTGCTCTCTCAGCCCTCAAAAAAGCGAGGGAATCTTAATTGGTTAGTGATGTGGACTGCTGTCTCTCCAGAGAGCTGCATAGATAGTCCAATGGTCAGCTCTGCAGCCATATCTATTCCAAGGGAGAGACCCCAGAAGGGGCCTGGTCCCTCTCCCTATCTGTATAGAAATTCACACAAAGGTGGGTCGGAGCAGCAGGCCTAACAGTACTACAGGGAGGGGGCACACCAGCAAGGCTGTGCTACCCGGGGTGGGGGTGGGGGTGGTGCTGAGCCCTGGGACTTGTTCCTCACCCCCCAGAAAACATCTTAGCTTGCCACTTTCCTTGATGTACGTGAAGGGAGGCTGGTGTGTACCTGTCATGGGGGTTTCTGTTGTCAGAGGCAGGGCTCATGCCTTTTGCCCACGTCACTGAGATGAACGGGTGGCCGGGACTCAGCCCCAGACCTACTGTAGGCCTGTAGGAATTGGGTCTTACTGGGGATGAAGGGTTTAAAGCACCCACCCTCCAAATGAGTTTGCTTACAGCCAGGATTCCTGTCCATAAGCTGAACTGAGGTTCCATAGTTTTAGAAAGACTCAAACACACATCCAGAGCATCGGCGCCCACACATCAGGAGGCTGGGGAGAGGGGGCTGCTGGGCATCGCTTCTAGACGGGTCTCTCTGAGCAGCTGGCTGCGGGAGGGGAATGCAAACGGGAGTGGGTATTGGACAGCCTCGTTCTGCTCTGGGGGCTGGGCTCGAGGCCAAGAGCGCCATGCCACTTCCCCAGACGCCTTCTTCTAGGCGGACAACACTAGTGGGCTGTCCTCCGGTGGCCACCCCTCTCTTCATGCCAGGGAAGTGGGGAGGAGGTAAGACCGTCGGTCGGCCTGCCTAGAGATCAAATCCATGGCCCACCCACGTGCTCCACGGTCCTGACTCCTCACAGAGGCCCCTCCTATTGCCCACAGATTCAACAGGGTCTCCCTCCACTCTGTCCCACATCCCTCTGGGTAATATTGCACTTTTTCTGTCTCAGATTGTTTCCATTTTCCATTGAGAATGCAAAGTATTTGGAGGGAATGGGGAAGTGAGTAACCTTAAAGAAGCTATAGATTAGTCAAACCCAGGAGGAGAAGCAGGGCTGATTTCACCTTTCCCTTCCTCCTAAAAACAGAACACTACAACTCAAATAGCTCTACGCCTACTCTGCAAGTACTAGTCATATGAAAATAATGTTTGCCTGAAATTCCCTCGTCTTTTTCCCTTAGACGAGAAAAGTAGTAACATGCCTTGCTGAGGAAAGCAATGGATATAAATGCCAGTAAAATACGCGGCTCTAACATCTCAAAGTGGCTACAATGATTCTATATAATGCCTTCGTCCATTAGGAGTGAGAAAGAGGAACCCTTGGGGCCAGGCTGGGGGTAGAAGGGTTAAGGCCTTGCAAATAGAACCCAGGCTGCAAAGTGGGGGGTCACAAGGCAGACAGGAACTGGCTGCTGATGGACAACCCCCCAGCTATCTCTTGTTGCCCCACTATGAGAACACAGAGGAGCCAGGCAGTGTAGCCAGGCCTACCAGTGACAAGGAAGAGTAAGGTCTGAAGACTTTCCCTCCACCCTGTAATAGAAGAAAAGGTTTTGAAACGGAAAGAAAAAGAAAGCACCAAACGATGCATCTTCGGGCATTATATAAACCTCAATAATGACCTCAGAAGGGCTCATTATGATTAAAGTTGCAGTATACAGCAATACAATGTCATTTCACATTTTCAATCATAACTAATGGAAAACTAGGTTTGGACATTGCTGAGATTCCACTTTTTTTTTT